GCTGTTTCCATGCCTTTGGTGACATTTTACAATTTGATAACAAATTCAGCAGTCCCATTTCAAATGCCTTTCTATCAGATCATATACAAAATGTGCTGAAGATATCAGTCTGTTTGATGTGACAGTATCTCACCTCTACAAGATGCAAAAGAATCTATCTACTGGAAACATGCTTCTTTAAATTTAATCTCTCTTCACAGGTTAGAAACCATGTATTGTATCTTAACGATTGCTAAACACTGATATATCTAGTAAGTATATACCTCAAATGACTGCTGTGAAGTTCTGCATGTGAAAATCTTAGCCAGACTATTCTGTAAACACAGATGATGTCCTTAGAAAGCCTGATGGTTATGTCAGGGAAAAGCAAGAACAAAAAGCTCTGTGACTTTATTTAGAGCATATAAGCTTTTTAATTCTAGTGTCTAGTAATCGGACAAGATTTGAATCATTTTGGTGCAGTTAATATCTTACGTTGTTAACCTTTCCATTTACCATTTTTGATTTTATTTTTTAAATCCATTTGTTTTTAGAGTGTAATGTATTATATAGCACAGCTACTGCATTGCAGGTTTACTGTCTTTAGATTGGGACTTCAGCTTGGAGAAACCTAAGTTCAAGTCCACTTTCCTGCTGTCAGCTCTCATTTGCATAACGTCTTTCAGAAACTCATCAACAGAGAAGTACTTAATTATTTTTGCATTTTGTTCCTGCTGCTGTTCTTGGAACACTTACCTTAAAAGCTTGTTGGTCTTTCAAGCCTTTTCCTCATTTCCCACTTAATTCTTAGATGTAAATCAACCATTTGCTCATCTTGTTCTTGATCTTAAAGGATACGTGTATTTTATTTTTTTCCTTATATGTCTTCAGTCAACAGTCATCTGTCCTCTCAGCTTCCATCTGGGGAAGATTCTTAGGCAGACCATCTTGAAGTCTCCTCTCATAAAACAGGTTCTCCATTCCCACTGTCCCTGCTAGCTCTGGTCTGATGGGAGTCCATTGTTCTTGAACAATGATAATTGGGTTTATGATGTTTTCCAGATGAGCTCTCACTAAAGCTTTCTGTAATAATAATGCTATTTTTCTTTATCCTGGAAATAGGTTAGACAATTCACTGTGTGCCTTCCTGGTTTTTACTCTGGCAGAAAATATAATAATTATATTCTAAGATGGAATTGGTCACCAAACATCTTCACATAATGACTGTGTTCTCTTTTCAATAAAAGATGTCTGTTTGACAGTCAAAATGTGCCATAAACATTTGTTCTACAAATGCATTTTTACTTATGCAGCTGGTACTTTTTTTTTTTTAGGAATGGATACTTGTGTGTAGGTTTTTTGTTGTATAATTGCATATATTTGCCTTCCACAAAAACATCATAGAAAAGTAATTTTTCCAGCTTCTGCTGAAGAGCACTTATATCTGTTGAAGATGGTTGTTATTTTTTTGAGTTAAAAATACTAAAGATATCTTTTGAGTCTTTAAAAATATGAACGTTGAGCCCTCAGGAGTGCAAAATAAAGGACTTTCAGAAAATTATGCTCTGCCTTCCTAAGAAAAGGACACTAGTAAATTGTTATAGTATGCTTTGGTGGTGAGATAGAATTAAATTTTGGAGAAGTCTGTTTCTCCTCCACCTCATTTTTCGAGCTGTCTAGGTGATAATCCTAACAAACAGTGTGCATTTGTGTTTAGTTTGAGGGAAAAGTGCATGAAGTGCATAGTTTTCCCAGCCTTTTGAGTTCTCTTGCAAAAGAATTCTGTCTCCGTGGTAACGATTAAAACGGGGGAAATTGCTCTTTGTTGGAGTCCTGTCCCCCATCCAAGCTCAAAAGTCCACCAGTGCTTGGCACTTCCCTGCTTTGCATCAGCGCTGTGCTCCCGCGCCCTGTGAGCCTTTATGCAGGGGTAACTTTTGTAGGAAAACAACCAACCATCCTCCGGGATGACAACACACTTCGGCTTTTCTTCTTCTATACTGTGCATGCCAAGAACAGTGTAGAAATGTTTAGGTTGACAGACAGGGCTGGGGGTCTCGAAGTCCCCGAATGTTTCCACGGATCCCGGTTCCTGTGGGATGTAGGCAAAGTGGCCTTATTCCAGCTTTTCTTGGGGCCTGCATTCTGGGCTTTGCACAGCACTTTACCCAGTGAAATAACTGTAGCAAGCTTGAGAGATACTGTAATCAATTTCCCTGGTTTAATAATATTCATTAAATTCTAGTTAAAAATCTGTTTGGTTATCTCTGAGGAAATACCGATGTCATTTAATACCCGTGTGAGTGTGTTGATCTCATTAATACTGGGTGCTGCCAGGTAGAAGGCAAGGGTACAAAACACGCATGTTTTGCTACTTTTACTACTTTTACTTTACTTTTACTTATTTACTATCTCTTTCTCATGCAGATTGATAATCAAGACAACTTACACAGTAAGTGTAAGCAGAGGTGGCTAACCCAGTTTTTGAAACTGGATTCAAGTAGTTTGTTGAAATCCCGTGTCTTTTGTGCAGAGCCTAAATGAACTAGCTTTATCAAAAGTCAAAGATGTGTGCTTGTGGATTTAGGATAGATGCTTTTCATCACTTCCAAATCACAGTCTTAAGAAAAATGCATGAAGCATTGCTGCCACCTTGAGGTGGTTATCTTAGGCTTACATCGTGGAACTTTTAACTTAGCAGTATGTTAGAGAACAATGTATTGACTTTTTTTTTTTGTAAGTAGATTGCTGAGAATGTGCAGTGGGCCAATGAACAGTTATGGCAGGGGTTAGCCAAGACACAGCCAGAGATGGGAATGGCTTTAAAGCATGAATTTTGATGGAGTCTTGTTCTTTGTAGCAGCAGGGAAAAAAAAGAAAAAAACATAGGAGGGCTGTGTAGAGTGAGGACTTGCAGAAGGAGAGAGATTTGGTAGTGAATTTCTGTGTGGTTTTTCATTTACAGGATTTTCCTTTACAGGAGTAAATGGGGCACAGAATCCCAGAGCTGACTAACAGTGCCTTTATGTATGTTTCCTGAGTCTGGGCCTTGTACTTTGGAAGTCTACAACACTAATTCCAACAAATAAGCAAAACAAACTGAAAAAAAAAAATTGTATGTCTGGTATACTGCACTTGTTAAAACCAGATTTCACCCTGCCCCAGTTTGGTGAAACTCTACAGACTACTGCTGAAAGCTCCTGTAAAAATATATTTTAAAAATCTGACAAATGAGATATAATTGTAAATGGAAATATTTTGTAAGAACTGTTAAAAATCTTTATGCTCAGACCAAATGCCTCTACATCCCAGTTGTTCCTGTGTTTACAGGAGATCTCATTTCTTCAGCTGAAACCAAAGATAATTTTGCATTTGCTTTTTCCAGTCTTTTTTATTTTCTTTCTCTTTTTTATTTTCTTTCTCTTCCCTAAAGGGAAGGATAGTCCAGTGTAAATGTACTCACATTTGTAGTTAAATATAAAATAGGAACCTCCCTCACAAGAGAAGAGAGCAACTAATTAAAGTAATTCACTGAGCAACATTGGCTGTTGTTTCAACCGAATCCAGTGCTGGTGACATTGATGGATTAGAATTCCTCATCACAGTAGCGTGGAGCAGCAACGCGTTGCTGAAAGCACCATCATTTCATGAAATCTGAAGTGTCAATGCCTGATTTCCAATTTGAGTAGCTAAGGCACATGCATTTAGTTTATGTCTCTATGCATTGGGAAGTTGTCAATGTAAAGGCCTAACAGCCACATCTGCATAGGACCCTTGTGAAACCTGACTTGTCATTTAAAGATGCGGTATTAAATCATGAGAGGTTTTGGTTTTCTGTTTTGTTTACATTTTTTCTATGTAACTTAAATACTGGGCTTTTTGTTTGTTTTCTTTTCTGTTAAGCAGTTTTGGATTTTATACTCCTTTCCTTTTTGGTTTTCTGTATGCTATGACAATTGCAAAACATTTTGTTTGACCTCCGAAAAAGTTTGCACAACTGCAGGGTGGGAAAGTCATTGACATCTACAGAAGGGAAGTCTGTTTTCTGTGCTGCTTCAGCTGAATGCAGTCCAGAGAATAGTTGGATAGTAGAGAATTGGTAAATAAGTAAAAGCTTCATTTTCAAGCTTTGGTCTTGTAAGAAAATTTAATTATGGCAGCCAGTAGTAGAAGTGGACCTTTCTGTCTTACCACTCTATTATAGTAGTGTATTTATCTCGCAATAAGTACACTAGAAGCTGAAATGGTCTTAATGTTGTGACAACACTTGTTTCTGTGCCTAGAAAACAAAAGTATTTGTTTCACGGAATAATCTGTACCCAAACCACAGTTTGAATTTCTGTTGCTAGTGGAATTCCAGTCCCTTCCTGTGGAATAAAGTGAGATTCATTTGGGTACTTCTGTGGTCGTAAGGTGTGTGACAAAACACATGCTACTCACAAGATGGAGTTTGGATATTAAATCCCTGTTGTGTTTATTTCAGGAAGGGTAACTAAGAAGGCAATTAGCCATTACATTTTGATTGCTTGTGAGATTAGTACATTTGTATCCCGTCAGTATATTGTTAAACAGAAATGCATCTCTTCTACAGAACAGTAGATTAATCTAATGATCATTTTCTCATTTTGGATGCTGCAGCTTTTTGTGTCTTTCTGAGAACATGAGCTGAAAGCCCATTCTTTCCTGGATGAATTTGAAAGGAGATAATTGCAAGCATTAAATTGTAGAAGCACAAAGTATCAGGATTAGATATCTTGTGTTACAAATGCTAAGGGAATATTTGTAAAGAACTTCCTAGTTTTCAGATGCGTTAACTTTGCGTTGTTTTACTCAGTAATATATTTAAGGTAATGGAAAATTGTACATGAAGATGCAACTCAAGTATTTGATGGCAAATGTACTATTAGAATTTAATAGCATTGGTTTCTAATGCTTATTATGTTTCCAAAGGTATGAATATGCAAAATGAGTCGGAGATAAGGATTAAAAGCTAATGTCCTTTTCACTTTTTTTTATTGCAGTCAGCGACTAGAAATGAAAGCACAAGTTGCAGATGCATTCATAGCAAAATTCCAGCTGACACCGGATGAAATGAACCTCCTTCGAGGCACAAAAGATGAGCCAATTACTGAGGTAACTCAGCAAACATTAAAAGCTTTGCCCTGAACTTAAATATAAAAAACATCCTAGCTGAATTGTACATGAGATCTTATTATCAGTTTTGTAGCTTCTTTTTTTTTATGGAGGAATGTACCTTTTAACACAGTGGTAAGTTTCTGATGAGTTTGAAATGTGCAATGAAAGATTCTAGTAACAAGAAAGAAAATCAGCATTAAATTCTAGTTTATATAATGAGTTTATGGGGCAATAAGAGCTATCATGTTTCTACACTTCAAAAAGGCTTTTATGGAACCTCAATTTTTAGCTAAGATGTTTTAAAATTACTACACGCTCGACTAAAGCAAAAGAGAAATTTGGTTGTCTTCGGTAATATGTAGTACTGCCCTTGTCCATGTGCATCTATATGTATATATCAGTATTCAGGAACTTGAAATAATAGAATTTAGAATTTTCTCTTATTATTATTTTGTTGATGAAGCTATTAGGTACCCATTCACTTTTAGCAACCTTCCAAAACAAGTTTTCGAATCTGTTCTTTTTTTTTTTTTTTTATAAGAAGGCTTATTGTTCTGCAGTACAAGCAAACTCAAGCATTGAGTATCATTAATAGATTTTATTATTGTAGTTGCATGGAAACCTTTGCTTTAACTCAGACTATCTGCTGAGATGCAGTATCTCATTTCCACAGGCATCCTGTTTGCAGTTAAAGCATTATTAAAGACATGGAACAGATAACTATAAACAATGCTAATGAAAGCATAAATGGAATGTGTTAAATGATTATGCACTTGAATAATTGCTGTATGCTTTTGTACCAACTACTACCATGAAAGAATATTCAAGCAACACCGTGCCATATATTCAGTGCTTGGTTTGCAGCAGAACAAGTATTAGGCCTTGTGATACCTTGAGATACCTAAAAAAAAAAAAAAATAAAAAAATATGCAGAAGTAACTGAGGTATGATCCTAGCTGTGCTACTGAAGTTGCAGACTTCAGTAAAGTCATGTAGGTGCTTTTCACCTAGGATAGAATCAACCACTGTGTTTAGAACATCATGTAAGTCAGACTCCTGTTTTGGGGAGATTTATTTTTTTCCTGAAGAAAGAGTGATTTGGGTTTTTATAAACACATGGTCTTCAACATAGGTGGTGCAAGGCAGTATGTTAAATCATTGAGTACTTCACTTAGAGAAAATATGTATTTTTACGTGACTTGAACCAGAACAGAACTCCATTTTTCTGAGGTAAACTGTGTTCAGGTCAAAAAAGAAACATGCAGTTACATCTGAATTTTCTGGACTGTTTCCTAATGTCTGAAAGATGACTTCATTCATAAGACCCCTGTTTGATAATGTTAGTATATTTCTATGAAGGCTCTCAAACAGTAACAAAGTAACCTTTTTGTACAAATGTCCATCTAGAGTTCTTCTAGAGTATTTTTTTTTTCACTGATAGCAATAAGTTATTTGGGGTGGAAACATCCCTGAAATTCTCAGTTTAGTCTGTATGTGAAATGGAAAGTACAGAGCGCTAGAGGTGTGAACGAGGTGTTACTACTTCTTGACCCTCTTTTTATTTTATGTATTGGTTTAGGATTTTTTCAAGGCCTTAGGACGAGTAAAGCAAATTCATGATGATGTCAAGATTCTCCTCCGGACAAATCAGCAAAGGGCAGGGTGAGTGTTACTTGGAAGAATGCGAGACAACTGTTTGGTAGTTACAAGCAGAAGTTAGAGCAAGGTGTCATTTTTACTTTATATATCTGTATAGAGTATTTCACATCAAAATGAAGAGTAATAATGTTTTTAAATTTTCATATTTTTCTAGTGGTACTCCTTATATTTTCACATGCCTATGGTAGTACTACTAAAAATAGTATTTGCAAATAAAATATTTTTATCATGTAGGTTGGAAATTATGGAACAGATGGCTTTACTGCAAGAGACGTCCTATGAACGACTTTACAGATGGACTCAAAGTAGGACTACAATTGTTTTTATGTTTATGAATATTATGATAATGGTTCCTTTAATTTCTTGATGTGGATTGAACTCAGTAAAAACCCTTTCCAAGATTCATTAATGAAGCTTTGTGTTTGCTTTTGTAAACTAAATGATTAGCTGGAGATTCACCCCTTTTTGTCCTGTTTGTAAATCTGTATTATTTATTTCTGTTTTCAGATGTTTTTCCACAGAGAACAATATTTACAATTTGGTATTCTAAGCCAATTATGAAGTGTATTGCATTTCATTTTCTTGCAGGTCACAAGGAAGTTCTTGTTTTTGACAATTTGCTAGTAACATTTAGTTTAGTGTGAGGAGTGGCTTATTGTTTAAAAACAAACAAAACCATATTGGATCGCATGATTTTTTGATTGATTGTAGGTGATTATTTTTTCACATGTTTTCTGGATCCAAGTCTCAGTGGTTGATAAAACATCTTGATAGTGTAAAATGTAGATGCTTTTGAATTATGTCTCTCTTCTCTGTTGACAGGAAGAGGTGTGAAAAAAGCTGGTGCAATAGGAGATTAATTTAATTGGCTATTCTTCTGTGGATACCAAAGTCTCAGATAATGGTTGTAATTTCTCCTTAATGAAAATTAAGCATTATTGTGCTGTTGTGTGATTTAGCATATGCGATTTCCACATTCTTGTATGGAATGTACAAGATTATATAGTTACAACACTAAAGCAAAACAAACAAAAAGCCCTCACAGCTTGGTTGCATACTTGCTTCCTTTTTTTCTCAGTAATTTACCTGTAAAGTGTCAGCCTTTTATAAAGGAGCCTAACAGAGTGTTGATGGTTGAATGAGTTAACACTTACACGTGGGTGCAACCACATAATAAGCTTATTTTCATTTTTATTCTTGAGATTAGCGATGGGCATCCATTTTAGTCAAAGTAGTATTTAAGGAGAGAGTTTAATTACCTTAGCACAAACAAGGGCAGGTAGCATATTCTACAATTCAAAATCAGAAGCCTTTGAGTTTTTAACCCATTTTCTTGTTTATCAGCCTGGTATAAAAAGATATTGCAGTGTAAAGAAAGCACTTTTACCACTGTTATTTTATAGATGAGTGCAGGACTTTGACACAAGAGTCGTGTGACATTTCTCCAGTTCTTGCTCAAGCCATGGAAGCCTTACAAGATAGACCTGTCCTGTATAAGTAAGTAAATGTTCATCATCATCTCTAACAGAAATGAGCATTTTCAGCCTGTGAAACTTAAGTTATATCTCCATGAGTTGCAGTGCAAAGGACAGTGACAATTTAGTTAGCATCAGATTTAAAAATTAATATAAAATCACACTTCTCTAAATTCAAAAGTCTTTTTGACATAATTATGATACCGTAAATGTTGGACTTTCTCCAACTTACTGCTTTGAAATTAAAGTAAACTGTCAGAATTTTGATTTTAACTTAAAAGAATTGTGAATTTCTGCTGCTCTCCTTGTAGGGTTTTTCCGAAGGAAAAAAAAAAAAAGCAATGCAAAGCATATGGGTGTCTCCTTTAAAATCCCAAAGTAAAAATTTGACAAATGCTAATTATCTTTAACTGAAGTGCTCCTGGTAGTGAGAATGTCTTCCATTATGAGTTGTTCAGTATATATTAAAAAAAGTCTACTAAATTTGGGCCTCCGAAGCATAGGGGTACTTAGATATGTACATTACATACTAGTTTTTAGTTCTTGTCCAGAATTTGCTGAAGGGATTGTTAACTTGAATGAAGTAGTTCACAGCTAGTAAGTAGACAACGTAACCACGAGGTGGCACTCTAAGAACGTTTTATATTGGGGTGACCATACACCTGAGGAGGAACTGTTTTATCGTTAATCCTAGTACATTTAGCTTCTTTGCTTTTGAGCAAAGGTTTGATTCTTTGATTTGGTTTGATTTTTGTTTTTAATTTAAATGCATTTACCGTATTTTGCAACTATTGCAAATTACTCTTAGCCGCAGGCATGCAGGAGAACAGAACACTCAGCTGTCTTTCAAAGGCTATCTTTGTCTTTAGCTGTGTCATACTGTACATTTTCATGGGTAAAATGTGTAGTGTGAATGGACATTAAACATTCTGTCAGTACAAGAGACAGTGCACATCTCTACAGGCTCTGTCAGATCTGCTAGTAGTTATAGGAAAAGTTGGTGCCACTTGACCTCTCCAGCTAATGCTCCGTACATGCTCTACAGCCAGCTCCTGTATTAGGCCAGAGCTGAGGGTTGCAGACCCCTTTTTGCAGCCTGTCCACCAAGCCCTTTTTCACAGCTGCATAGGATTGTTCACAACATTTTATAGGATTCTTTATAAATAAGTAGTTTCTGCAACAAATATTTTGTTTTATGAGGTTACTTTCAGACTTTACAAAACTATAGTTTTGCTTTCTTAACACTTAAAAATAAAACTAAACTATCTTCTGTTTGAACTCACATCTGTCCAGTTTAAAATGAATCTGCTAAAGAGACTTCATTTTTCATCTGACGTCTTCCTTACGAAAAGCAATACTAATGTAACCTGAAGTAGGACAGTGATAGGACTTCTTTTCTCTCAAAGGCAAAAGTAAACATTACTGTAGAAGATGGAGCCGTGTCTCCCACCACAGATAACCATGCTTAATCACTTTCTACAGCAGTATTGCCAAAATAACAGAACTCATGCTTTATAGTTGAAATCTAAAGATTATTTATATGCCTTTGTACATTCCAACTGCTGAGATCAAAATATAACAATTATCTCATAGGAGAAAACTTCAGTTTGTTGTTGTTCTTATGCATTTAAGCACTGCTGCTAAACTTACTTTTTCTTCCAAATCACAGTCCTTGCATCTGATAAAGGTTGTGATTTGGTTGGATGAAAATAAAATGGAGAAGGACAGGAGTTTAGAAACAAGACTACAAATTCTTGTTTACTTATTTTGAGTTATGTTTCCTTAACTTTAAGGTGGAAGAAAGATTGTACCATTCATGGACTTTTGGAAACTGCAGCCAGTAGGGATCTAAAATGTTTGCTTTTACTTCCTGTTTCTAACAGAAAAAATGAAAACTGTTTCATAGATAGTGCATGGAGTCATAGCTGGAAGCAGTGTGCTTCTTCCATCCTCCACTCTGATTTTCAGAGCTTTTCCACTGCCTTCTTCCTCTCCCCACTAATGATTATTACTTCACTGGGTTCTGGAAAAATTGGAGCAGAGCTGAAAAGAATACAAATGTTGTTTTCTTACCCTATCATGAACACATGTAATAACATAGTATTAAATACTGTGTTTCTAGTGTAAATAATAGTTACTAATGATTTTTTATGCATGCAGGATTTTGTCATAGCAATACCCTTTTCTACTGAGAGCAAAAGCAAAATGAGTCTTTTTTTCTTTTTAAACAAAATTATCATTACTAACTGCTGTTTTCAAAACAAACATCGTGCTATTATGCTGCTGTATTTTTAATGATACGGCTGTTTATTGGAGTGTGGTGGGGAGCTTAACTGGTTTCTCCAAACACTTGAGGTTTTTCACTGCGGTGCTGCTATTCCTGGACTATGGGTAGTCAGCAGATCCCAGAACTCTTCCACTCTTAATTGCATAATTTTCGTGAGTAGTGATTTGTTATAGGCTTACCAGCCTTTAAAGTATAGATAGATTGATCTTTACTCTGCAAGTGAGCAAGTACAGTGTGTGGGGAGAAAAAAGATGTAAAAAGAAATTTCCTGATTCTTCACTGTGTTCCCTCCTTATTCTCCCTTAAATAGTAACAGAGCAAAAAAAATAATGAGGGATCCATTAGATTATTTATAGCATAAGAGAAATCTAATTGAACTTACACTGTGTCAAAAATGTTTCAAGTTATTATTTCCTTTTGTATTTTGTCCTCCGCATCTGTTTAATTGCGAGCATAGTGCTCATTTAACTTCAGTCAGTGAGTAACGTGCTTTCTATTATTATTATTTTATTTTTACATCTGTTCAGCTGCTGGGTGTCATGGGTAAGTGACACCAAGCCTACTCTGTGGCATTTCTTCAGTTATATGGGAAAAATAAGCTGTTGTGTTTTTTTTCTTTTTTTTTTCTTTTTTTTTTTTGCCATTGTAATTTGTGTGCTTTGTTCAAAATACTTAAATTCTGTTGATTGAAAAAAAAAAAAAAGTGTTCCATTGCTTGCAAATGTCCTGTTTCTAAGCAAATAAGCAAGGATATTAGCAATGTTCATTTCCCATCGTTTGTTATTGTGCTTCAGCCCCAACAGGAAAGTAGCCTGCTCCAAAACTGAGCTGTGTGTATCCCTTGGGTACCTCCTCTTTTACCAGCATGCCATTTGGTGTTAACCAGTCTGGTCTGTAGTGTCCATTAAGTATCTTAAGTAAGACTTAGTTGATTGACATAGAGAAACCATCAAATAAATAACTGTCACCATTATTCATCTGGTGGCCTAGAAGAAGGAGATGGAAAGCCTTGTGTTGTGGTGGAGTAAGTTGCTGCTTCTGCCATTTAGCTGTGAACCATATGTGAACAGGACTTCTAGACCCGTCAATACATGCTTTTATGTGCAAAACTGAAAAAGATGATTTTTCATTTATTTATTTGTGTGTGATAAGCAAAGGGAAGGGTCAAGGAAAAGCCATCCTTAGTATCTGTTAATGAGGAGTCAAGAAAATCAGGAAGTTTTGAATGCTTTATAGTAGAAGCATTGGTGCAAGTTGCCTGGAACTGTAGAAACAGTTACTTGCTTTAACTGTAAAGCTGAACTAATCAAGTGCGATGAGGTGAACTATTTTATTTTACTCATTTTCATGTTTTGATAACAGGTACACTCTGGATGAGTTCGGAACAGCTCGAAGGAGTGCTGTAGTCCGAGGCTTTATAGATGCTCTTACTAGAGGAGGTCTAGGAGGTACTCCCCGCCCTATTGAAATGCACTCCCACGATCCTCTGAGGTACTGTACTAGTAAGAATGTATAAGAAATAATTCTTCTTTTCACACTTTAAATCTCTCACACCATGAACCCCTGATTTACACAGAAATTTCTGTCTTTGTTTAGGTATGTCGGGGACATGCTGGCCTGGCTGCATCAAGCTACAGCATCTGAAAAAGAACACCTAGAAGCTATGCTAAAGCTTGTAACTATTCAAGGTAGTACTAGATTTTGAAACATATATTGGGAAGTGATAAGAAAATAAGTTAAAAAGTGTGAGTAATTTCTTAGACTGGGCATAAGATATGAGAGTTGAACTTTCATTTTCCTGGAATTAACTCCAGAATAGCGTAGGTTGCATTTTGCCAGAAGAAAGCCCTCAGCAAAGAAGAGTACTTCAAATTTTACTCTTTTCATTTTACTCACAATAGGTTTACGCTAAATTTATAAAGGGACAAAGAGTTCAAAATTGTCTCTCTGAAAATATTGTGATAGATTACTTGTTGATCTGTTGAGGATTATTATCCCTTGATCATTTGCTTAGTAATTTATTTCAATAATTGTGTTCCTTCCTTCCTACAAGTAAAATGGAGTTTTCTTCTGTCTTGTAGCATATCAGTGTAGGTTTCTGAAGGTCAAAGCAGGCCACTCATAGATGTGTGAAGCTTTTTAATAAAGCTCTCCTTTATTAATGCATCTGCAGATTCTAACACAGATTCTTCAGCCCCTTTGCTGTCTTTTAAGTAGATTGAACCATGCTTTTAAGAAACATTTCATGTAGAAGCTGTAATATGTTTAGCCTGTATGGCTTAAGCCAAAGACTTACTAAACGAATAAAACACGTATGTTCAGTTGTAACAAACCTCAGCGTAAGAGCTGATGTTTAATCTGTATTTTTGGTGAGTTTCTCAGATTGTATGTCTTAATTGAGTCATGCTCTGGGATTTAAAGTTAATATGCATTCTCATTTTCCTTGCTGCTGGAAGTATTAAATAGCTTTTGTAATTAAAGGTATATGAGCAAGTAGGCTGTTTAAAGTAGGACTGTTGTAAATCAAACCAAAGGAATGTTGTTGGGTTTTAGCTACAGTTACAGCATACTGTAGAAGTGAATTTAATTTTACACAGTGATAATATCTCAGAGAGTCAAGAACGTAGACCTCGTGATGCCTGCATGGTGGAGAAAAAGACATGGTAATTCTGTACATGAAAATCTGATGCTTTTGCTGTAAACAGGGAGTTGTTCAGGAAAAGCTGGCCACACAGAGAATGTTACTGCATCTGGTTCTGCAGCTGACTGTGCTATTGCCCAGTCTTCCATTCTGTTCTGAAGTTCTCCTCCTTTGTGCAGTGCTTTGTTTAGCTATTAAGTGCTCTGGTCTTATGGCAGGAAGTCAGGCTCAGATACTATGTCCTTCTAATATAGATATGTTTTGAGAATTTCAGCCATAGGCCAGGGTAAACTACTTGAGAATACACGGAGTAGAAATGTTTTGGAGAAAAAATTTCCAAAAATATCACCAAGACAAAGCTTTTTTTTTCCCAAGGGACTGTTATAAACAAGAGTTTCACTGTTTGTCTGAAGCAAAAATGTTTTTGAGAGCTTATCAGGAATGACTTTGCCATCACTGTTGCCCAGTTTTCAGGAAACCTAGGGAGGGATTCTTACCTTCACAGTGGGAGCAACAAAGCCTAGAGGATGCATCCATTAACTGTTCCTCTGCATCTCTGGGAGAAATACTGATGATGATAGTTGTAGGATAAGGTCTTGAAGATGAAACAGTATTTAATGGGATACTACTGCGTTTAACAAGGACCATTAAGTGGAATGTGCAGCATTATGATTCAGATTAAGTAGATTAAGGTGATATGCATCATATAGCTATAAATCCTGAGTTGGTGCTGACTAATCCAGTGAGCACAGCATGTATTGTACTGAGAGATTCAAGGTGAATTATCTGTATTGTTATACAGTCTTCAGGTGTCTTGTTGCACAGGCTACAGGAAAAGTTAAGTTAGTTTAACTTGCCCATTTAAAAAGTGGGCATCTTGTTGATTTTGATGATAAATCATGAGAGTGATTTGTGTCTCCAGAAATCAAATCTTCCTAACAAAAGGTAGGTCTGATAGAGGCATTTTCATAGGCTTCATCAAAACTGTTTGTTCCGTTCTGTTTTTTCCCTGTTTCCTATAGAGGGAGCCCAAGAAGCTAGCATAGAGTAGGCAAGTAAATTTGAAGGCAAAATTTAGGTGAAATAAGCTTTCTCTGTCATAGGTCAGTAAAATGTTTTAACTTCAGTTTCAGCTTGGAGATCTTTTATGGAAGTAGAACCATTTTTGTAATTTGAAATCAGGATTCTCTGAGTTCAGATTATTGTTTAAATTCTCCTATAAAGTCTATATAATTTCAGGACTGTGGAGAAGGTGGTAAATTGCATCTAAACAAAAATATTCCCCTTTTCTGTAAAAAAAAAAAAAAAAAAAAAAAAAAAAAGAGAGAGAAAAGAAAAGACACATCTAGCTATCTACAGATGGAGGCAGATGTAGGTTTGATCCCAGTGGAAGCAAAACTGTGTGAATGCTATTTTGGAGAGATGTTCACAGTTTTGAGTGTAGAGAGAATGATCTAAATAGCCCACAAATAAATATTCAAGAATAACTTCTAAAAAGTTTTATAAGCTTGCAAATGTTAACCCTTGAAAATTAACCTGACCAAAATACTTCCAAAATTTTAAGCATTTAAAACACATTCAGAAAAGATTAATGATTTTGTATCGTACTGGACAGACATAAAGCATCTGGTTCTCTTCTGTGGAGCTCAGGTATGCTGCTGGTAGGGAGCTTTCCAGTCCTGTAGAGGACTTGTACTTGAAAAGAAGGGAGAATTGCAGGCATTATGTTTAGGAGAAGCAGTAGAAACCTGTTTTTCATGGAGTTACAAGAAGCTAACTGGAGAGCAGAAGTCACATGAAGGTACAAGAAAGATGTCTCTTACAGAAGGGTATGCAGAGAAAAATTATATATGGTGTAGCAGGCAGCCAAAAGCATATGTTCAGTAATGAACTGTTTCCTAAAAGTGATTTTGAGTCCATAAGGATTGTTTAATCCATAATTCTTCCACGTCACTGTTGTGTGCTAATACTCGCAACAGTTATATAATCAACCATGTTGGAAGATTTATTTTTCCTGTTTGCTGAGTCTAAAATATTCTAATTGGACATGAAAGTGTATTTGACAGCACAAGCATGTGATATATCAAAATTGTAATTCCATCTCCCTTGGTATTTAAACTTGTATATTTTTGCAGCTAAAACTTTCATATCCAAGAATTCGTTATTAAGTCAATCTGGTCTAGATACACGACTGCAAATGTGTGCTCGAACAAAAGTGCCTGCTCCTACCAAAAATTGCCTAAATTATTAGGGTGTGTCTGGGAGTTAGCCATTACATAACAGGCCACAAATCTTGTGGTTTGTAATCTTGCTATCTTCCTTAGTATTGATACTTCAATATACAAACATATTTTTATTACTTACCAACGTAGTATGCTTCAAGACAACCACCACACCGAATTTAGTTGTTTGTGCTTATGTGGCTTTTCATGTATTTTGGTCTAAAGAGGCTTTGTCACACATCTTTAATCTTTTATATGTTTTTTTTTTCTCTTAGAGGTATTCTCTGCTAGTGTGAAATGAGATCTGCAAAATATAGCTTCAGGTCACCTGATTTTTATCACATGTCACAGTCAGTTTGTTTACTGTTCATTGCATGGGTCCCATCTGAAGATGAACTCCTGTTGACAAGTTTTAAATTAGAATTAAAGTATTGCTGTCTCCATAAATCTATTCTGAGTTGTTACTGAAGTGAGAGCTTGAAGATCTGTTGCTTTCAGTTTGATTGATTTATGACAGTGCTGGTTGCCATGCAACAATTCATTTGTGTTTCACAATAAGATAGGGCAATATTCTCTTTTGTATATAGTTTGTTCTCTGAAAGATCAGTTTCAGCTGCTGCTAGAGAGGAAGCATTTGGTAATGCTGTAGTAGTACACTGCAGTGTGCAGGTACATGTGTGATTTAATTTGTAACACTACAACAAGCACGTCACTACCCAACACTGATAGATGCATGTACTTATAGCTCGGGCCTTTCAAAATGATAAGTACTGTTGCTCCTTGAACATCCCAGTGCCCTTTTTTTTTCCTGTTTAGTTTTGAGAACTGTTGATCTTGAGCCTTACTGTGACAGCTTCTGGCTAGATCATTTACTCTTTCCTTTTTTCCTTCTGCCTCAAATCCCCTAGCACTGCATTGTGCTAGGAAGCAATCACATAGCATAAAGCAGTGACTCTTCAGGACTGTGGTTTGTCATGCAACCATTTCTTGATGGCTAGATGTGAAGTTCAGTGGAGGTGTAAACTAGTCCTGTGGAGAAAAGGACATGTAATTCATAATGCTTTTTTATGGAAGAATAGCTCTTACATGTGTTTATTTGTTTTATAATAGACGAAAAGAGAATTAGATTTGCATATTCTTAGCATGTGCTTGCTTTAACTATAGGTGTGGAAGAAAATATTCAAGAAGTAGTTGGGCACATCACAGAAGGTGTCTGCAGACCTCTAAAGGTGAGATGTATTGCTTTTCTTAGAACTCTAAAAATAATTATAAAAAATGTTCTGTAGGGTTTTTCCAGGTCCCATGCCCTATCTCTACAATGTATTTTCATTTTCCTTGGTTGTGTTAGGTTATTAGCTTTAAAAATCATAAAACCCTTCAAAATTAAAGGTCCAGTAGCTCACAGATAGGTATTTCATGGTATGATAATAAATAGTTGTATAGTGAGAGATACTAGGATAGTAAATCTGTATCTTGATTTTCTTTTACTTTTCTTAAAGTTTAATGATGCTTAGGTGCAAAAATTTAGCTTTAGGATAAGGGTATAGGAATGACTGTAGTGGGTCATATGAAAAATCATTTTAGCTTAGTACCCTGGTTTTTCTACTGTCTATTTTATATGCTTAGGGGAAGAGTGTACAGTTTGTGCAAGTGCGTCAAGATACTTCTGTGGAATAGTTTCTTCGCCTGTTTGTGGACTTATTGAGGACTTACTGAGCCATAGCTACTCCTTTGTATTTGATACACCACAATATATTTTTCTTCCTTGAATATGTCAAGTTGGTATGAAATGATGTTCACAACATGTCCAGCAGGAGGGAAGTGCACAGTTCAACTGTACTGTTTGAAAAGCCAGCTCCTTTTGGGTTTGTTATGTTTAATAACTCCAGCTCTTGTATTGAAAGAGACTGTGAAAAATCATTTCCTAGTTATCATCTTTGTGCCCACCTGATTTGCTGTATGACTGGCATATCCTTCCACAGCTTCGCCTTAGTTTACTGTCACCAGAACAGTACAGAAACAATTTTCAAAATCTTTGATCATCTTGTTACCCTTCTCTGGACCTTTTTTTACTTCTGTGGTATTCTTTAAAATCTTTAGGCTATACTCAGGCCAAGAGACTGTACTCAGTACTATGCCCCTGCCCAAATGTCCTTTCACACAATGGAAATGGGTATTTGTATATGTACGTCTGTACATATGCATGCTTTGAAGAACAAAGTACACCTGAATGTTGAAATTAACTTCGTGCATCGAGCTTTGCAAATTAGAGTCAACAAATATTCTGCATTTTTGGTCTCTGACCTAGATGCCAAGGGAGCATAATCTTAGTTCCTTCTCTGTGCAGCTGGCGGTGACAAGAAGGCACTGCTGCACATTGCGCTCCTTTGAACAGCAGACAAATAACTTGGGAGGGCGGGTGGCGGCGGGTGATTTGTGTGTAGCCCTTTCACACACAGGCACGTGGGAGAATAGGGCAGTGATAAGTCACTGACTATCACTGCTTCATGAGTGCCCAGAGCTTGACCTTGGCGCAGCCTTTTATGAGTGAATTGAGACTGTGTGTACCATGGAGACAAGACAAGACATCGACTGTCCAAGTGTAAAGAAAGTCAGCACTGTTTTGGTCTGCCTAACCAATATCTCCTGGTTGAGATAAACAGGCAACATAGCTGTTAGTAATAAATAATTACATACTGGTAGCAGGTACATGATATTTCCTTTAATAAAGGAGAGATTAATCCAGGTGAAGTTTTGTCTTTTGGGTAAAATACCTCATACTTCGGATGTTCGGAATTGCTGCATGATGCTAATGATCAGATTAGGGATTCTGCAGCTGTTCTTGCTCTGTTCAGTGCTGGGGAGAATTCCAGTATGTACTGGTGTTAATCCATAAAGTGATCTCATTATTTTGAAATTTTCAATAACAAGTTGCAACAAAATCCTATAGAGAAATATTCGCAGCAGTGGGATTACTTTAGTTTAGTTTTTAAGAATATACCTGCTTGTTTTCTACCCAGAGGCTTTGCACCCAAGAAATACTTTGGTTCAAGCAGAAAGCTAGAGTTAACTGGGCATCGTCTCTTATTAAATTTATTTCTGTTCAAATTTATTTCTCAGAAGTCAGCATTGTATTGTATATAAAATCATAGAGGTTGGCTTTTAGGGTGTTTGACCTGAAGGATGTTTGCTTTTTCTGCAGGTTAGAATTGAGCAGGTGATTGTTGCTGAGCCAGGAGCAGTTTTACTGTACAAGATTTCCAATCTTCTCAAGTTCTACCACCATACAATCAGGTATACAAACTACAAAGTATGTTAAGGATATAATTTTTATTACTATTATTTATTTTAAGCATGAAGATTACTATATTAAAAAGGGTATTCTTGGCCTTAGCAGATGCCATTTATCTGTTCACTCCCATCAATTCATATGGAGTCTGCTTTGGAATATGGCATCAATTTTTAGAAATTGATAAATACATTTTATTGTGTTGATAGATGTTTTATTTATATCTATATATGTATATATAGATATATATGCCTAAGATGACAAAGTATCCCTTTGAGAAAGTGATAGAATTAAATTCTCTCTTGAAATTCAATTTTTCTTCCTCAAACAGCTATGTTTGGATACGATTTTTTCTGACTGTGCACTTGCATTTTCCTGTTGCGAAGATGCTTGCCTTATTCTGTATCTGGCTGTTCAAGGTGCACCAATCATCTTCCAACCTGTCAGGTGCCACCAAGATCAGTGAACCAAGAGACAAGCCAGAACCTCTGTTTTTTATAGATTGTGGCATTCACAGTAGTTCATATTGGTTAGAAACAGCAGTAGCAGGAAAATTTTCATCCGCAGCCCTGGACTGAACTGCTGAGAATTTGAGTCACTAATATAACGACTATTTTCTGGTATTTATATATTGCTTAATAATAAATGGTTCATGGGCATCTCCTCAAGTCTTCACGTGTGATGGCACTACAGGTCTATGGTAGAACACATATCAGACCTTTTTTCTTTTATAATATTGAGCAAAATGTTTTATTCCTAATTTTGTTGTCAAAAACAGTTTCAATATTTTTGCTGTTTCTCTGTCTCCAAAGTCTGTTTCCCGGTGGTAGTAAAGCAATTGAATATGTGATGTTAAAATGGAGGAGGGTCTTAGGCAGACCCTCCTTAGGAAATCTGTTGCTTTCTCTCGTGCTATGATGCATTGCCTAAAGACCACTGAAGCACCTTCTGTCAGCTGAGTAATTTCCTCTGTATACAGGAAGTCCACCCAAGTAATGAAGGGAAAACCCACTTGGAGAAATGACCCATTAAATGCAACAAGATTATGTTCTGAAAATTAAGCTACAAGAATTAGCTCCATTATGATGCAATTAATTTTTAACCTGCCATTTTGGTAGTGTAGAAGTGTTTTTACTTTAGACAAAAGGTAGATTAGTGAGACGTTCATAGTCAGGTAAGGTAGTTTAAGGTTTATGCAGTAGTTATGTTAAATGTAATAGCCTGACACTCAGAACAGCAAGGCATGAATTCTTGTATCACTGGAGATGCCTCACATCACACTGAATAGAGGTAGGATGCTATCCCTAGAGGACAGTATGATAGAATAAAGTTATCAACCCTTTTTGTTTATGTAATCTGTTTTGTATAACAAATAGATTTGCATAATAACAAAACAAAAATCCAGTAAATGTTAGAATTATACTAAAATGTTTGTGCTCAACTTCAGATAGACTGTACTTAACCATGTCATCAAGCAGATGTTACTTTTGATAATGCTTGTTCTCGCAGTCATCTTATGAGTGAATCTCTCAGAAAGCCAATATGGAGAACTGTTTCCTACAGTGATTTGTTGTACGTTTTGAACTCTGAAAAATTTGTGTTTGAAATGCTGTCTGAAGTTTCTGATCCTGTTTTATTCCTCCCTCCCTTCAGATTATGTAGTTAATCTTAATTTTGTTTTCAGTGGTATTGTGGGAAACAGTGCAGCCACACTGTTGACAACAATTGAAGAAATGCATTTGTTGAGTAAGAAGATATTCTTTAATAGTCTGAGCCTTCATGCAAGTAAACTCATGGACAAGGTTTGTTTCAACATCATGCGGCTTTCATATTTCAAAACCAAAACTTTCATTTCTGTTTTGTCTAGTAAGAGTATTAGATGAATAGCTGTTTTAGACTTCAGCTTTTCCCAAAATCAGTTATGTTGTGTCTATATTCTAGAGAAGGGATATCGTTAAAACTTAAGAAGTTTTTTAATTCTTTAATTACTGTTGGTAAATATGTTTAAAAATAATGTTATTAGCAGCATTTGATAACAGAGCGGCAGAGAAGTTTACATAGTTCTGAAATCTACAACCAACAAAAGTACTGATTGGGAAATTTCCCAAAGTGCAGTAAAGCAAGGTCAGCTGATTGAGCTAGATAACTTGCATTAATGCATCATCAGATCAGTAGTTAATTACTCATGTGTGTAATTCCTTTCTTGAAGTTATGAATATATCCCAGGAAGCTAAGCTGAGTAAAAGCAAAACTTAAACTTTTCTGTCTTTTATAAAAACAATTCTATACCGTGAACATTGCTGTTGTTAAAAGGAGAATATACTTTTGTTAAACCAAAAAAGCACCTGTCCCTAAGCCAGCATCACTTCCTTGGTATATTTTCTTCTCCTGTTTGCATTTCAATGAACTTTCCATTCTTCAGTACCTAATACAGTTCTTGTTAAGCTCTGCCCGCTGTATTCGTATCTGGTTGCTGATGGTGGATCCACCTGATAAATCTCACCTTCCTGAGATCTAAGCAAAGTAAAAGCAAATTGTTAGGCTGCATATCCTTTTCCATTTGCTAGGGATCTGATCTTTATCCAACATCCCTATTTGAGATGTGGTAGGTTGCCTAGGTCTGAGAATCAGGAAGAGGTGACTTTTCCAAGGCATTGCACAATCACAGAGTTTGGCAAAGAAGTCCCCACGTTTCTGTTTTTTCTGCTTAGAAATGCTGTTTGAAAGTGGAAAACAAACACTGAAGTTTTGTAAATGCATTTCTGAATTAGTTGTATTTAACCCAATGGAAAAGCACAGAATATATGTAGATTTGCAGAAGCTGATGTTTGTGCAAAACCTCGTAGTTCCCCGAGCAGTCACTGGGATGTTCTGAGTTTGGTTAATGTTGTTCTGTGGTCCCAAGGTAGTTTTCTCATTCTGCTGTTTGCCTCTGGTTCTGCTTCCTTGCCCTTCTGCAAAGTCTGAGGAATGTCTTTCTCAAGGGAATAGTTGTTCCTCTTCTTCTTTCCTTCCTTATATTTCAGTGACTCCTTTCAGTGGTTTTATACCCTTCATCAGATGAGTCATTGGTTGCTGCTGGTCCCCCAGTCCTTACTGCCAAGTCCACCTAGCACATTGTTTGTTGTCATGGGGTGTTTCCATTTCAATATAGTGTCATCAGAACAGTAGTTCCTCTACTACTGATGGTGAGTTCATGAAAAGTACAATGAACAGAGACCATGTGATTTTACCCAAGTATGAACAAATAAAGCTTATGGCGTATGCTAGCTGCATATGAGTTCCTCAGAATATTTTCTTTCCTAATGCCTAATCTGAAACAAACTATTTGTTTGTGTATTTGCTCTTTTTATGAAGAGAAATCAGTAATGGACCTTAGCAAAGAGCTACAACTGCTTAGAAAGAGTGTGCAAAGTAGTATTTAACAGAAGTTTTCTTGGCTTTGGGCTGTATTCATCTCTGTTATATTTAGCTCTGTTGTATTTAACTTTCTGGGTCTTGCATCTTACTCAAACAGGATCCAGCATAATTTTTCTGCTTACATAACTCACAATCTTTGTACTTTTGGTTTGGACAGTAGGCTGTTTTCAGTTTGGAGATGAGTAGAATTAAGGAGGGGTGATAAAGAAATTGTGATCCCCCAATTAATGGTGTCTGTTCTTTTTGTGGTCACTAAGGGAAGGTTGTGTAATCCTCTTTGGCCTCTTAGTTCCATTCCCCCAGTCTCTGGCCTGGATGTAGCTGCCTCTAGACGCTGCCTTGTTTCATAAAGGAGTTGAATTTGGGTTTACTGACTTTAAATGAAGATGGTGGTTGTGCGTGCAACCTTCAATGGCATTTCAGTGCAAGTCATTCAGGATGAAGTGGCATACCCAGCCTACTGTGTATCCCATAAGATCGTAGTATTGTTCTTTCTTGTAAACACATTCTGTATATTAAATCTGAAATTGTCAGTTGTACTTTGCATATATGTACTCTGAAGATCTTTCCTCAGGATATAATTGAGGTCAATGGATTAAAGAGACTCAGAAGTTGATTAGATGTATGAGTAACAAAGGCTTTTGCAATTATTTATTAATATGCACTTTAAGAGTTAGCAGCTCTGGTAACCATTAGGGTGAGAAGAAGCCTGACTGTAGTGATGTGTAGTATTTGTAACAGAGTTTTAGCCAGTGAATCACTTTATATTATTTCCCTTTATAAATGGGCTACTAAATTGATAGAATCATGTCCTATTTTCTCATGACTAAAATTAGTTTTACTTCACAAAAAATGCAAAATTAGTAGGCTGAATTACACTCAGAAATATTAGTTTTCAGTTGATATAGACCTTTATTTTGTCATAAATTTTATTTTCCTGTTACTTTATTGTGTTAATACGCAGATAACCAACTTTTATGCCTTTTCATACGTCTCCATTAATATAGCACTAGAAGTCACAATGGTTTTATATTTTGAGGACTCTCAAGACTGCTTTTTATCATCTAGGGTTTTTATTTTTTGTTGCTAACGTGTGTTCAGACCCAAACAATGCATGTGTGTGAGTACGAGTCTCTTCACATCCCAACTAGCTTTTTGCTATGCATCCCACTGCATCCGTTTCCAGATTTTCTGTTTTTTAGTTTCAAAGAGTAAAGTACTGGAGAACAGACATTTGTGCTTACATATATGATTGCAAAGGCTTTGCTGCTGATCCATTATGCACAAAGAGGATACTCACTTGTAAAATTATTAAATTACTTTTCACTTCTACAGTCTGGAAACCATGTTTTTTTCATATTTCTGCTTACATTTTGCATCTTAAGCAGTTGATAAGCCTGTTTCAAAGAATATCGACTGTCCGTTACTTTGATTAGATCACCATTTTGATGATAGTATTCCCTCAATATCAGCAGTTGTTGATAATAATCTAGAAATCACGAGCAAATAATTTGAAATGGAAATCAGTTCTACAATTTTTATTTCATTTAAAGAGAATGTAAGTGTTTTTGTAATTACTGTGCATAGCTACTCAATTCCAGAAGATTTAGTCATCATTACTGATGAATTTGTAACTTGACAGGGGTTTCTTCAGCCATGTGAAAATTTTCTTGTGCTATAATGTGGGGAGAACTGTCTAGATTAAATTGATATGTTGTTATTGTGTCTTGCTATGATATTTTTTTCTAGTATCTACAATTTAATAGTTGATAGGTGAGCGGTATTTAAGCAAAACTTGCTCTTAAGTAGAGCTAGTTGTGAACTTTTTAGACAAAGAAGGTTTCACTAAATATGCTAACTCCTCTAGACCATCTCCTTTGAATGTAGAGGAATGACAGGACAGATTTGTCTCTGTCCTCATTACCACAGAAAACTTAATTCCCTGGGTTGTTGATTATGCTGGGTAGAGCGTTGCCTTCAAAGCTGGCTGGCGTTTTGTTTCTGAAGCACAATGGGAAACTGAGACTTCAAGATGTTCTTTCTAGGACAAGAAAGCAGCTTCCTGTTCACATCTGTTTTTGAGGAAGAGTCCCATATTGCATAACAAGTTTCACAGGCACAGGGCTGTATGGAAACTTGAAGGCAGTCTTAGATCAAGATTCTCCTTCTTTGGTTGTCAAATCATCATTGTAGATGATACAGGAAAATCCCTAGTTATTTCAGAGTACTTATTGGCTTGCTCATTGGCTTGCTCAGATGTACTTTCCTGTAAAGGTTTTTTTCATTACATCCGAAAACCTCAAGCATTCTGGTTGTAGTCTGAAAATAACAGAGTCAGCAGTTCTCACAACTTCAGATTCTTCAGTCTGAGACTGAAGACTTATCTTGTTCATGGTCACACTTCTCAGGAGGATCCTCCTTAGGATCTGAAATCTAAGCTTACTGTCTAAGTGTAAGTTCATTTTTATCAAAATAAAGGCAGTAAGTATGCAAGGGAGTCTTTGTCTCCTGTACTCCTTGAAAGCTGCTGTGAAGCTTGGTGACAGAAATTCCAAAGCTACTTTGTTTTCAGGGTCTGAAATGCAATCCACAGCTCTGAGATTCTTGGATTGTCATAGGACTCAACGCTGGCATCATATAGAAGCTGTGCATCATTAGCCTTCTGTGTCATTGAAAGTTCAGTGCATCGACTTTTATTCTATGGGCTTTTATCCTTCAGAGGCAGTCATTCCAGTGCTTTTGAGCTCTGGTAACAATATGTTTAGGTTCTGACTTAGAACACCTTCCTTATTGAACCCAAATGGGGTTTGGCCCACGTTAGTGTCTCCAGTCAGAAAATCTTGTTGGTGTTTGTTTCTTTATAGCTTTCTCGAACCCCAAAAAACATGCAAGGGAAGTGATTTAGAACTGTGGGTTCAGTCTTTAAATATCCTTTGTGTTTCCTTTGCCCATGCACTGATAAACGAAATCAGCCTGGAGAAGAGGAGGCTCAGGGGCGACCTTATCGCTCTCTACAGATACCTCAAAGGAGGCTGTAGTGAGGTGGGGGTTGGCCTGTTCTCCCACGTGCCTGGTGACAGGACGAGGGGGAATGGGCTAAAGTTGCGCCAGGGGAGTTTTAGGTTAGATGTTAGGAAGAACTTCTTTACTGAAAGGGTTGTGAGGCACTGGAACGGGCTGCCCAGGGAGGTGGTGGAGTCACCATCCCTGGAAGTCTTTAAAAGACGTTGAGATGTAGAGCTTAGGGATATGGTTTAGTGGGGACTGTTAGTGTTAGGTTAGAGGTTGGACTCGATGATCTTGAGGTCTCTTCCAACCTAGAAATTCTGTGTGTGTCTGTGTGTGTGAAATGTTCAGGAATTTGGGATTCTGATTGTGTTAATCGCTGTCTAGACCTAAATAAAACCAACCTGGTACAGGTTACCATTTTACAGATGATAATAAATCCAGGGGAAAATACTAAATGCAAATAATTATCAGAAAACAAACCGGTCCAATGAAACTGGAAGCAAAGTTAATAACACCTAGTGCACTGGAGTGGATGGACACTCTTCAGTTCTCTCATGCTGAGAGAATTGGCATTTGAAATCACGACTCCACTGGTGAGGCACTTTAATGAGCCTCTCACACATGGCTCATTATGACAGCATGTTTTATTAGACCAGCTTGCAATAAGGGAATTTTCAAGCACACCTGTCCTTACTCTGGTTTCAGTAGTACTCCAGAACAATTATTAAAGGAAAGAATTTAGTGGGTAATATTGGTGATAGGGGGACAGTTGGACTAGATGATCTTGGAGGTCTTTTCCGACCTTTATGATTCTATGAGTAATTTAAAACACTGGAGTGAATCAAATGAAAGGTATCATACTGAAGAGAGGTTACGCCAAGCTAACCTGTCAGCTGCTGTCTGAAAAGGATGATTATTAGTAGAGAACACAAGGCCAGGCTTTGGGATTTTTGTTACTTAATGCTGGTCTTTTACCATGCATACTACATGTATGCAAGTTAAATGTTACAATTGCATTATCTATTAAGTTGGAAAGTGGGAGAGGTATTAAAGTATTGCATGGGAATAACTGCAAACTTCTCCCTCATAATTTGGTTCCCATCAGAATGAGGCCTCTTGGGTTTCTGGGAAAACAGCTGTGGGACAGATGAAACGAGGTAGGTTGATGTGGTCTGAGTGATGTTGTGGTCTGAGTGGATCCATGTGAACAAAGGAAAGCTAACAAGAATTTTTCTGTTGTCTGTTCTTCCAAGTCCAACTTAAAGGTAGAAAGAAAAGCATGCCATTAGGCATTCTCCTTTGGAATTTGTGATAGGATTCTAGCAGGGCTGAGGAGAGCTTAGACAGCTGCTCTGAAGCTTCTCTGGCAGACATGCACACGTTTCTTATGCTGCTGCTGTTTAACCGTGGTGAAAGTTGTCTCATTTTCTAGAATGAAGCATCTGCTGATATGAACCTGTTGTAACTGAACGGGTGAAATACCCTGATATATTTTTACAGGGTTGCACATCTTTAGCGCTTTGTCTCTGCCTCCTTGCCACTGAGGGTTTTGAAAGTCCAATTTAAAAGCTGATTAGGCCCTTTAAAAAGCCACTAACATTTTCATTCTCCCTCTTAGCAGTGCATTCTTGGAGGAGCTGTATACTTAAAATTACTGTTGTCTTTTATTTAACACTGCTATCACAGAAAGGTCAGATGAGGTCAGCAGGAACCTCTGGAGATCATCGAGTCCAACCATCCTGCTCAAACAATGTCATCTAGAGCAGGTTGCTGAGAACTCTGTCCCATCGAGTGCCTCCGAGGATGGAGGAGACTGCAGAACCTAGTAGTGCAACTGTCTCCAGTGTTTGACTAATTTCACACTGAAAAATTGTTTTCTGTAATCCAGTGGAATTTCTTGTGTTTCAGTTGGTTCACATCGCCTCTCGAATTGTCACAAGTCATTGCCAGGAAGAGCTTTGTCTCCCTCTTCTTTCCTCCTCCTGTGAAGCATTTATACACATTGATAACATTTCCCCCAAGCCTTCTCTTCTTGGGGCTGACCAGTCGTTGTATGAGAGACATTCCAGTGCCTTCACAATCTTTGTGGACCTTCACTGGACTTGCTCCAGTAAGTCCATGTCTTTCTGCGCTCTTAACTTTCTAATGGTCAGGTAGGGTAGTATGTAAATAGTTCTGATTGTGTGCCTATAGAGTGTTTTCAGGTGCGTATATGGGCTTCTAAGAACACTGCTCTCATTGATGCCTGCTCCAGTACTTACTAGTAGTACGTCAGTAGTCTATGTAGTCAGTAGAAACAAAAATCGTGCAAGATTACTTTCTTGGTAATTATTCCCCACTGACTGATATGCAGAACTTCTAAGCTGTAAAGTTTAAATGAAGATACAACCTTTTATACTAAGCCTCACATGCAACTTGTAGCATCCATTGTTATTTTAGGATAACTAGTTTCTGTTTTGTGTATTAAATTTTAAAAATTGGGATTTTTTTTTTCTTGTTTTCTTTGGACGAACAGCTGGTTGGACTACTTCTGGCATGTCTGAACTGCTAGTTACAGCTGATTAGACACTTAAATACTGTTAGAGTGTGTTTTAATGCTATTGAACTGAACTCTTCTGAGAATTTTTTAGCTAGTTCTTGTCTGGCTTGTGTGTGAACCAGGTACTTCAAAGGGTGCATTTCAAATCTATTTCTCTGGAAATAGCGTTATTTATAATCATTTTTTAGTTCATGTAAAAACATTCAGGACATGATTTTTTTTTTAATTAGAGCAGCAATTTAGTTCTCACAAATTGATGTCAGTAGCTTCATCTATAAATTAAGATACATCTGCTTTAAAACTTCATTTTTTTTTTTTTTAATTCTGAAAATACCACCCTATATTTATGTGCAAAAGGTTGGAATTCTCAATGTGAATATAGCACTGCTTTAATTTTCCTTACACTTACTGATAATTCTGCCTCTGTTGAAGTAGTCGGGAATTTCAAGCTAACCCTAATAGAATCTAATGATCTAAGCCTCTCTTCCTTGTGGTGGTTTATTCTCCAGCAGTGTTGTTCCTTGTTCCCATCTAGAAAACAGTGGACTTCAAAAGAACAGGTTAAATGAAAGATGAAGCTAATTTAGAAACTTCTGACCATCACCTACTTCAAGGGACAAAAATTCTCTGCAAAGAAGCCTGAGATTATCATTGCCATGATCTGTGTGTGTATTGGAAGTGAAAGCCCTATCAGTCTCTACTCTCAAATTAATGCCAAAATATCCCTGAACACGGTCCAGTTCAGGTCTGAGAACAGGCTGTTCAGGGCACGATCAATACCCCTAATAATAACAGGAATAAACAAGGAGGAAGTCACTGCTGTAAATTTCAGTAGACTTTACTACTAATCACCGCTGAGTAAGTGCCTTTTTCCAGATTAGTTACTTCATTGCTAGGAGAGTATTTATTTTAAAATTTCAGGACTATTTATGCTGAACAACAACTGTTCTCTGAGCTTATTAGTTCCAGTTCTCCATTAGTTCCTCGAATTCACTATACCATCTCTTGGAAAGTGAGTGCAGAGGAACATTTTGTATTCAGAAGGATGCAAAAGAGTTCTTGTTAGCGACAGCTTTGGAGCCTGTTAACCGTGGCTTACGGGTCCATCCAGAGCTGCCTTCCTTTCTTGCTGAGCAGGAGTCTTAAGAGCTTTGCAGAGGTGCATACTGCCTACTTCTGCTGCTCCCACACATCTTGAGTGGCACAGGCTAGTCCCAGGCCAAGCCAAACTTCGTTCTCACACCCTTTTGGAAAGAGATTATGCTTTGATGTGTCCGCTTGGTCTGTGTTCCTGGGAGTCTCCTTACTCCCACGTGATCCAGCCAGACTTGTGTTTACCCTTGAATAGTCAGGAGATGGGAGAGAGGAAGACAGGTTGGCAGAAGGAAACAGGATCGGCAGTTTGGGTTGTGGTAAGGGTCTGGATGCAGCAGGAAGCCAGTTTGAGGTATCACTGAAGACAGGAAGATACAGCTACATTCCTAGTGAAAAAAGGATTCATTGCAGTTCCTTGAGTGTACTTGAGTTAGCTTGTGTTAGTTATTTTGTGTACTGGTAATTTGTGGCACAAGCTTGCTAGGGATTAAGCCTGTTGCATCTATGACTACTGAAGCCTGGCACGGCTCTCATACCCAGCCACTCTGCATGACAGGGGCTACGCAGTCTTGTCAAGAAGATGACTTCATTTGACTGTTTCAGTATGGCCCTAATATCCTAGAGCTCTGCTTGCACTAGATTATGGACCATTTAAAGGAAGCCTTGCTCAAAGTGAACTCAGTGCTGCCAGTAATGTTGCTGTTCTCTGGTACTTAATCTAGCAAATGTATTTTTTTTGCTACCAAAACCTGTAGCGTTTGTGTTTCTACAGATCATAAGGTAGGCATGCTTTGAGTGAAAGGAGAAATTCAGTTTTGCTTGTTTGTCACTGAATGGGGTGGTTATTCTGAAAGTTGCAGGCAGTTATAATCTGAAACATAAAATTCTTCTCTGCATGGCTACATGTAATTTTTCAGTTAGGTGGTTGTATCTGTGTTATCAGATTTGATGGTGTTTGCTCTAAATAGAATTTAAAACAAACAAAAACAGATAATTTTGTTCTTTAGGTTGAACTCCCACCTCCTGATCTGGGCCCAAGCTCTGCACTAAATCAGACACTTAATTTGCTACGCGAGGTTCTGGCATCTCACGACTCATCGGTTGTTCCATTGGATGCTCGTCAGGCTGACTTTGTGCAGGTACGAGGGATTTTGACTTCTTTGAGAGAAGGAAAAAAGAAGTACATTTAAGTTAGTCTCGGTCCATTAATCTTTTTTGTCTAGTCCCATTTTGGAGCCTTCTACCAAACCTGAGTTTTTAATGTGAATAAGATGGTGACTAACTAAGTGGATAATTACAGTACAGTATGGAGTGCTACTCTTAGCACAGTGTCTAAATTCTGTTATCCAATTACTACTCCATTAAGTAAATACTCCATCAAGATCGCACAATTGCCAATTATCTAATCTGGGTTATTCTTCCTCCTGCTAGGTTAGAATCTGTTCTTCTCAGGTTTTTATACTTTCCCCATCACTATGGTAGCCGATCACCTGCTGACAAATCCAGTAGAAAACTCCTTTCACAGTTGGAAACTCTCATTTCTCTTTATTCTTCTTTGGGGAATAAATACATGATAGAGACAGAATGATCTTAGAAGCCCTGTGTGACATGATTTCCTCCCTCCTCTCCCTCTTTTCTGTATGTTTTCTATTTTAGGTTCTATCTTGTGTGCTAGATCCATTGTTACAGATGTGTACTATGTCTGCCAGTAATTTGGGCACAGCAGATATGGCAACCTTCATGGTAAATTCGCTTTATATGATGAAGACTACTTTGGCTCTCTTTGAATTCACTGACAAACGTCTAGAAATGTTACAGTTTCAGGTGAGCATAACCAACCCCAATAGAAAATAAACTTATTACTGTTTTCATTTTTTTTCCAGACTGTAAGTCGTGATGTGAACATAGTTATCTTTGATTGTTTTGGGTCAATGCTAAATCAAGGAAATGGGATAAGAGGGAGAGGTTCTTGCCACAGATCATAAGCAAATACCAGCTATTAGAGCTGATGATGGTACTCAGCATCTTTTATACGCAAAATTAATAGAAATGTTTTGTTTTGTTTTAGTTGCAGATAAATCCCTATTAGTGAAAAATTTTCGTTATCCAAATTGTTCTAAAACATACCTGCAACTTGAAACACATAGTAGTTGAAAGCTTGGTCAAATGGCTGGCTATGCTCATGTGGGGTTTTAATACGGTATAGCTGAGGGTTACTGCTAGTGTTTCTTTCTACCTTTCCTTTCCCATTCGTTTGGTTTCACCTCACGTGCCAGGGTAGTAGTTCATATTTGGTACCATTTTGAAATGGAAATGTAGTTTATAAACCATTCACTTGGAAAAACCTAGGCGCTACCCATTTATAGTTTTGCTATATGAACATCTCTGCAATACATCTCAGGAGAGCTTTTGGAGCTTGAGGGCTTTGAAAAAGGTCACAACTGCTTATTTGAAGGCATCCGTAAAGATGGGGTGCAAGACATTTTTCCCTATCTGCTCCTAATTAGAATTTCTAGCACCTTTTAGCACAGAAACAAACAAACAGACAACCCCACCAAACTGTCTGGGGCATTTTGAATCTCCTTTATCAGAGCTCCTTTTTCACAGTAAGTGTTGCAATTGATTTATTCCTAAAATAAGCAGTAGAGCTGAAGGTTATGCATTTAATATCATTTGCTTTCTTCACACGTTTTACAAATACAGGAATAGATTGAAAAAATCTTTAAGATTATACCTAAGTAGATTAATAAAGCGGAGGTAGAACGGCATATTAAGTAAGAGGAAAAAAAAATCATGGGAGAAAAGAACTCCTGAAGACAGTTAAAATCTCCAAACTGAAAGATTATGACTTCCCTCCTAATGTATAAGGCAAAGTACATTTTTCTAAACAATTTCAGGAAGTAAATATGTGAACTCTTAAAATATCACACAGAAAACTTGCATTTTACTAGAGTTTGATATATTATGAATTCCAGCTTTTTTTTTTTTTTTTTTTTTTTTTTAAGAGAATAGAACTAAACAAGCATGGGGTAGTTTTCTGTAAAAAAAAAAAAAAAAGTAATAATGTATATATTCCCCAATCTTCCTGAGACTACTCAAAGGTGGTTGCTTCTGCTATAACTGGATTTATTTATTAGGTTTCTTGGCAAACTGACGATTATATTCAGAATATAAAATGTATATACATATATTTTTTTATGAAGGTAATTAAAGCAAAATTAATAGCTGTAACTTCATTGTCTGTTGTTGTCAACTTTTTTTTTTTTTTTTCAAACACACAGCTATCAGTATTGAATGTAGAAGCCTTACTGATCATGCTTGGTTTCAATTTAATTTTCCTTGTGAAACACTGGCATTTTTTTCCTTTTGTTTATTATAAAGCTTCCATGCTGTTGTCAATATTTTCAAATAATTATAGTATAAAAAAAAAAAAATAACAGTGTATAAGGGTTTTGGTTTTTCTTAATTTTTAGTGCTGCTGAATTTACAAATGCGAAAAAAATAGTCTCTTCTGTTACACAGAAAGAATAGGCTCTGTTTTTATTGGCTTCTCATAATATGGAAGATGTAAATGAGTAAATTATGCTGTTCGTACTTGTGCTTTTTCCTTGTTTGTTTATAATTCTCGTATTATTTGTGTTTCTAGACCTTTTAACTCCAGACGTGATTATATTTAATATTCTCATGCCCATTTTATAAATACCTGATGCTTAAAATTTCAGATTGAAGCTCATTTAGATACGCTCATAAATGAACAAGCTTCCTACGTCTTAACTAGAGCTGGTCTGAGTTACATATATAACTCCGTGCAGCAACACAAACCAGAACAGGTAAGATTATTTACTGGATGTACTCAGATGATAGTGCATTCCTGCCTAGTAGAAGAATTCTGGCACTGTGATTTTTACAAATTAATTTTCCTTTGAAAGCAAAAACTCCATACTATCTGTTGATTTTTCATGTGGGACCATGGCTATTAGACAAAGGTACCTTGGAAGTACAGGTTTTCCCCATGCTCTGTGTTATAGCAGGTTTGGGATGCATCAGTCCTTCTGTGCAGCTTATCTGTGTACCATCAACAGGCTCTGCACACCAGAGCATCCTGTGCATTCTTAGAATAACTGCATAGCTAGTGTAATATCCCTCAGAATGTATTAGAACGAAGCTGGGTCTAAAACACAAGTAGTGAGTGTGTGTACCACTTCCATCTAGAATGTATCAGACCTACTGGGTATGTGGCATTCAAGGTTTTTTTCAAGTGCATGCTATTGTACCATAGACAAGAGTGGATGCCTTGCATGCATTAGACATTTACTGCATTTTTCCTCTGTGAAAAAATGTTGGAAGAGTTTAATAGTAATTTGAAATCATGTAGCTTTTTGTCTTTATTCACTGCTCTACCTATTTGAGGACCAAGACAGTGTGATTCTCAGAGTGAAAACATCACGTTTCTTCGGACAAGTTGAAAACTGGAATTTAGAGCTTGTGCTGTTTTTTCTTTCAAACAACCTTTCATGCATGATAGACATTAATACATCCCCTCTTCCCTGTGCCTAAGATCTTTTGCAAAGAAGGTGAATAATGGTGTTTTCTGGAGAAAGCAGTACTATGTTAGAGAGCTTCATGATTTTTCTGTGGCCGATATTTTTACATGAAGTGCCCAAGCTCAACAGATTTTTAGAGAACAATTAGAAGTGCAGAAATAATCTGATTAGTAACTCAGCTTGGTTTCCTTTTCATGAGCCTATCTCCTCTTCTAAAACCAATTTCAAACAGACCAGAGCAGATTGTTTAACGGAATGTGGACAGACTTTCCAGTAGCAATTTTCTTTCACATCTGTCCTTCTCCCTGGCTGCAGGGGTGAGGTTCTTAGAGGATTTGCCAGGAGGTTAGGCAGCATGCAATGCCTTGTAAACACAGGAGAGTTACTAGGGAGCAGAGTTGAATTTTGCATGGTCCTGGAACAGAGAAAGAGGTGGAAGTTGTCCTATGTGATTCTGGAACACCAAGGGGATTTGAACAGTTGCCAGTTTAGTTTTCATTACAGACCTTGTAGAAAGCATTTTCCTGCATTTTTGTCATCTAATGGTGAAAAAGGAAGAAAAGAACTTGAAAGCACACATGAAAAAGTCAGTATTTTAAGTCTTTGATTCAAGGGAGTGGTGGAATATAAATGAACTGTTACAGCACTTCCAGTATTGGTGTGGTGATTCAGTTTCCAAAAATGTAATATCTTGTAGCAGGACCCAGTAATGATTTAGTACTGAACTGACTGTAGAATTTATAGTTTTTTGTCTTTTTCCTTATGCTAGATTGACTTCTTTTTTTTCCCCCTTTTGATTACTGATTCTTAGGGTCCTCTTTCAAATTTGCCAAGTTTGGATTCCGTGTCCCTGAAGGTAGCGATGGTAAGCATTTTACAATTTCGTAATGTAGCAGTGTAGCTGTGACATGGGAAAGAATTCTGTTAATTGTGTTATGTAGTAGACATTCATCTAACAAGCCGTACTCTTCAAGAATAGCTAAATTACATGTCTGGGAATACTTTCTTCATTTGTAGTAATTTGACCACTTGAAGTAATAAATTCATAAATTATGTATGAGCTGGTAGTAATAGAATATTAATTTCTAAGTCTTAAGAAGCAGGACTTTATTTGTAAGAACGTTATCCCATGAGTCATCTTAAATTGCTAAAAGCAAATACTTAGCTCTAATTAGTTTTAATCATCAAAATTTATTTTTTGCCTGAATGCTTTGAAATATAGGTTCTGCTATCATTTATAATTTTGGTCCTAAGGCTTTGATTTTATGCAAGTATTTCAGCTAAACTAAGGAGTTAGGTGCTGGGCATATGCCACAGTTAAATGTATATTTCTTTAAGCTGAAAGCTGCAATATATTTTAAAACAGATTATTAGCTGATGTTTTTTCTTAATGTGTGTGAAGGGTACTTTGCATAGAGATTGCAATATCACAGTTCAGTAGACGGTAGCATATGATCTGTCACTCTTCTTGCTTAGTCAAGTTTAGCTTTATTCTGAAAATTTAGCTGTAAATAAGGGCCGCTCAGCCAGCAGTGCACACGTACACCATGAAAAAGTTCTAGTATAAATCTAGACATCACACAGTGGCTTGAATTTCAGGGAGGGGAAAGGCAGTTTGTTTATTTTTTTTAATTAAGTGGGTCTTCTTAAAAATCGTATGTTGAATCCCTTCTTGACATGTCAGTATAGCCTATTTTCCTCCATTAAAGCTCCAAACCAGGGAATCCTAAGCTCCTTGGAAGAACAGAGCTCTGGCACAGAGCACTCAGTGGTTTACTTAGATCAGCATGCATTCTTACCAATATTTATACATTTTACGTTTAAAATATCTTCACCTTATCACAGCCTTGTTGATCTACAAGAAATCTAAAGACTGCAGCTTGGAGACCATTTTTTAATTTGTATATATATTACAGATGTATAGTCATACATAATAATTCTACTTGAAAAGTTAGAAAAGAATCCAACTTTTATTTTCTTCGTAACTTTGTTTAATGTATGCTTGTGTGAACACACTTGAACCAGAATGGAACCCAGTATGCTGAAATCAAACCCACATAAATCCCATCTGTCAATGTATTCTGCTTAGAATTTAAACCATAGCAGGGAGGGAATACTTACAGGTAGGTTCACTGCCTCCCAGCTTAACAGAAATCAGAGTGCTGTGGTATTTTCCACTGTTATGTGGAGCAGGAGAAGTAAGCCTAGAAGCAGTTCATGGAGCCTGAACTAGGTCAGTTGGTCTCGTTTCTCCCAGCATAACTGCTCACTAGATTATTAAGCAGTGGCTTCATGTAAAAAAATATGAAAGTAATATGTCCAACTTGGACAGACTAGATTTTAAAGGTCTTTTCCAACCTAAGTGATTCTGTGATTCCACTGAACAGAGTAGGTCTGCTCTTCAGTGGTGATCTTCAATATGCACCAGCTACATAGAAAACTTGGGTAGTTGTAGAAACCGTTTTCTCATTTTTTTGCTCCTCAATCTGTACTTCCCAGAGTCAGAAACTTGAAATGTTGGTGACAGAGGTGCTGAAATTAGACGTTTGCTTTTGGTATTGTATTAAGCTCCTCCTTAAACATCTGTATATTATGTTACCTTCAGTTTTAAATACATTAAAATAGAAAACTTTATCAAGTAAGAAGACGCCATTTTAAAGTAGTCCTTTTTCAGAGATCTGTATTTTTATCTATCCACATGTAACAGCAAGTTCTTTGTATGTTGATCTCATATTCTTTTTCCCACCCCTAGGCTCAGTTTGATCGCTATCTGTCTGCTCCAGATAGTCTGTTAATGTCCCAGCTGAATTTCCTTCTGAGTGCCACTGTGAAGTAAGTATCTTAACTTTGAATTTCTATTATGCCTGTATAATAATCAGAAAGATGAATTTGATTAGGTTTTAGCGGATCGTGATGAGAATTCAAGTTATCAGCTGTAATCACATTTGCATTGTACTTCAGTTCGCAATTCAATTTAGTTTCGACTGTCCTCTTTTTGAACAAACAGGAATATGTAATTTTGTAACTTTCTGAAGTAGTTACTCTTGACTTAATACTGTCAAAATGAATTACCTATTTTGAACGTGTTATGCTGTGTCAGCATTCTTTGTCAATTTAGTTGTAAATTGTTTTAGAACTATTTTGTAAGCATTCCAAAGATAGATGAAATATTTAATTCTCTGCTCAAGATTTCTTTTATCTCCACCGCACCATCAAGTCTAAAATTATCAAATTTGTTGTCTGTACTATGAAGTATTGACATTGTGCCATTGAATATTGTGCTGAAATGACTTCTACGCTTCAAAGGAAAAAATCACTAAAAAACGTGTAAAAGTAAGAACTGTATTATTTATCTCTTCTCTTGTTTCATGAATATATTGTATAATAAGAAAAATAAGGGCCAACTGAACTTAAGGCCAGGGAAAATGCCAAGAATTTATTTCCAATTAAATGTGAACCATATGAAGGCAATTTGTAGTATTTAAATTCAGAGAATTATATGCTGCAGTGATCCAAAAGTTTTCTTGACATTATTTTTTGTATTTTTGTCAAGAATGCAGGTTACAGAACATCCAAGAAATTGCAACTAGCACGTCACATTTTGGTGTAACATTCTTAACATTCGGATTCTCATTACTGCTACCTGTTCTCCAAATGGGGTTGCATTATGGCAACTTGTGATTAAAAAAAGTGACATATGTCAAGGGAAAAAACTACTTAGTGCTGCAAACTTGCTGCTCACGTTCTCCTCATGCAGAGACTTCCAGTTTCCTGCCGCATGCCTGGTGCACGGTTTGGCCTGTTGGTTTTTTCCATCACTTTGTTGGGTGTCTCTGCTTGGGTCACTGTTCTCACAGCTCAGCCAGCAGAGCTGACCCTGTCGTGTAAGAGTTGCCCTGTACTGATACAGCTCAAACAGGGCAGCTTGAGCAGTAATGTAATAGATGCACTGGAACTTCCACGTCTGGGTGTCAAGCTCTTAAATTTGTATTTTGTCTCTTGATATGTATTTTTTTAATGTAGGTCCAATTAACAATCATAGTAGGTGAATTTGGAAAGCCTCTGTTTTTACATTGCTAACACAAAACCTGTTTTATAGAGGCAGATTTTATGCTACCATAAAGACTCAGACATGTGGTGAAAGTACCTTGACTTAATCATTTCTTTCTATCAGATGAACCAAGATAAACTGGTCACGTATGCACTCCCACTCTTAGACTTACCCCCTTTATGAGCTTTTTAAACCTCTCTAACCCTGAATTTGGTTTAAATTGTGCTATCTTGTAACAGTGGGCAGCTGAGAGGTGAGTGAGGAGCTTATGTGAGGATGATTGCTATAGCTGCTACAGCTCAGCCTACAAAGGAGTTTATTAACCTCCTGTAACAATGTTACAGGTTAGCTTCTGCACAGAATTAATAACAAAAACTTTCGAAGATACATATTTACACAGATGGATGCTTGTAGGATTCAGTATTCAGTATTTTCTGTAGTAAATAAACCTGCAAAACTCTGAAGTTTCTCAAAATTCAAGTAAAACATTTAACCAGTGCTATCATTTTAATGACTTTAGTAGCTCAAATTTTCAAGCTAGTTGTGCAGATATTGGTGGTCCATTTTGAAGACTTCTTCATTGAAGTCACATAATTATAATCTCCTGTTCCAGTTGTTGAGCTGGAAGCCGACAGTTCAATTCTCAAAACCAGACCACATGCTTTTGTTAAGGGAATGCTATATACTCAGTGGCAAAATAATTTAAGCTTTATGACCATGAAGAGCATTCCCTCCAACATTTGCTTTTCAAATTCCTTTGTTCATTTAAAACGAAGCTTTACACTATTTGTTTACATGGTTGTTGGTCTTGTAAAGCTCTTTTTGTTTGCATTGGATCACAGAAACTGAATGCTGGAATTACTATTTTTAGAGAGTGCTGCCATTTGTGTTAGTGATAAAATGTATCATGTTGTTATGGCAACTGAAATCCTCATGTACTGATTAATGACATTGACATTAGTTGATGGAGAGACTCGTTTGATGCTGTTCAGTCCTAAGGAATATTTTAATAAACTTTTTCTTTTAATTTAGGATTATTTTGTGCAATACAGTTAGTCTTATGCAAATTCTGTGTGCAATACTTTCTTAAAGGGTTGTCACGTTACAGTAGCTTAGTGATCCTAGACGGTGTTCAGAGACAGTTGTTTACCTGAAAATGCTGAATACATTATAACAGTCTTCCTAGATTTGCTATTATAAAGACAGTCTCTCTTTCAGGTATTCAAATAACCTAGTAATAGGGGCAGTTGATCATGTTTATTGAAAAAGTGGATACTTTGCATCAGAATCGAGTGCAGTATTTGTCTCTTCATCTTCTTTCTCATAGCTTCCTTTTGCTAATATTTCCTGAAAATACAAGGTTCTACACACTTGGTATTCGAGACTCCTTTAACTTTTCAGTCCACACTCGCTGTGGTCAGAGCTGGTAAATTTAGCCCTGATTTCAGTGGATGAAGTTCTGGTGACTTTGTTCCTTGGCTGCATAGTTCAGCAGGGCTGATGAGTCTGGATTCATGATTACCTCCGTTTCCTTAGCTTCTCCTGGTGTTCCACTTGCATGGGCTTGGCTGTAAAATAGTTGTAGTTACCGTTTTGTTAGATAAAAATGCAGGTGGAACTGTAAACACATTGCCATGGTGATTTAAGCAAATATTCAACAGGTAACATAAAATAAAAATATTTGTTTTTCTTCAAAAAGTATTAAACTTTCCTGTTAATTTTAGCATGCAATCTACATGCATTGTTACTTGTTTAGATCCGACAAAAGCAAACACGATACAGATTTCATAGCGTTGCTGGTAAAAGCCTGTAGTAGGTTTTAAATCTCTCACCGCTATCTCTTTCAGCTCTTCCTCTGAGAGATTATGGAATAGGTGCTGTCAAGATAAAGCAAATAGAATATATTTGCTGGTAGATGGGGAGGGAGGGAGGAACAAAAACAACTACAAAGGTCAGCAAGAAATGACAAAAAGTAGAAAGTAGATTACTAAGAATATCAGTCTTAAAAATTGCAGGAGAGTGCAGGTGAACAACTAATGTATGCAAATTAAAAACTAAATTAACCTTCTGCAGTTGTTTCCTTCTACATTTGTTTCACGATTGCAGAAATAAAAAAAAAAGCTTCTTGTTTATCAAGATCATATATCTGAGTTCATGTGTGTACAATACAAACAGATGAAAGTCTTTCATTGTAAAACTTTATTTTTTCATATTTGAAGCAAAATAGCTTTTAATGTAATTGACGCTGAATTTTTAACGTATATTTGTATTATATACTGTGAATTCCTTGCATGTAGTACTGTTACATTCCCTACAATTTGCAAATTATGTGGATGTTTGTTTTGTTTTTATTTTTTAGAGAGCAGATAATAAAGCAGTCAACAGAACTGGTCTGCAGAGCTTACAGTGAGATATATGCAGCTGTGATGGATCCTTCAAATAAGTATAAGGATCCAGAAACCATACTACACAGATCGCCTCATCAAGTTCAGGCACTTCTCTCATAGTCTTGCTTCACCCAGATTTATTTGAATCCATAATTCTGTCTTTGAGTATTTAAATTGAGTTATTTTTCTGTTTTGAATTTTGATGTATAACTATATGCTTAAAATATGTAGGAATGCAGTTTTGTTTAATCTGTTTGGCAAAAGTCGAGTCTTTCCTGTGTCTTTGAATGCCTTCTGTAGGCCAGAAAATAGAATATAGATTAAAAATTATTTTGATGTATTCCTCTAATGGAAATGGACCTTGACAATATGCAATTTCTTTGAAAAAGAGTAAAGGAGAGAGAAGCCTTTTCTTTGCCATGCATAATCCTTTTGACCAGATGTTGAACCAGTGTCTCTTATGACCTCACCAATATTTTTATTTGCTCTTTTTCCCTGTGCTTTCACTCTTTTTCTCAGCCTATCATCAGTACACACTGATACTGTTTCATTTTAATACAGCTGATATGCTTTGAATGTCTGAAGTCTTTTGCAGCTCATAAATCATTTTAGAATATTAAATGTATTTTTTCAAAGCTGTTGATTAAATCTTTGAAGCAAAATTCATATATATATGTATGTGTATATATATATATATATATATATATAAAATCCATTGTTTTTGTTGCTACTCTGGTGGTTTTTTGTAAGAAAAAGGAATACTTGAATAATTTGCATGTACATAACCTGGAACTTCATGCTTTAAGTTATTTTTATAATTTTATTTTACTAGAAAGATTTTTTTTAGTGCAGTTGTTCTGTAGCAATCCTTTTATCAGTTGAAGCGTGCAGATCTCTTAAGGTTGGGACCAGTAACAGTGTAGGTTAGGAAGATCATTTGCACAGCGGTGTGGCCATTAGTTATTTGCATGCATCAAGGGGGAGATGAGCAGTCATTCATATTGAATCAGTTATATACCTAAGATGGATGCTTTTATTAATAACTATATTCCCCATATAAAACGTATGCTTAGTGGCAGTCAAGTCTGCACGTTAGTGTATGCTCGTGAAATAGCACGAAATAGAGAATAGCAGCAACAATGCCTTTTAGTCTCCTGGAAAGCTCATTGCACGAGTTAGAAATTAGCTTTGGTGGCAATACCACACTATAATATCTTCTTTATGGGCATAATTTGTTAGTATATTATAAAAAGATTTGAAATTGCAAGTGTCCCTGGAGTTTGTGGATCAGGCATAAATTCTTTTGTAAATGTGGATGTTAGGTTTATTCTGTTCGAATACACTAGAGCTGTAAGAGAAAAAAAAATCTAGAAGCTTAGGAAAATTGTATTGGAAAATTATGCTTTTACTAGGTAACGCACTTAAATTATTCAGAGTTTGTGTTACCGTAGTATATATTCAGAAGGCTGTTCATTGTTGTTTAATAATGTTAATATTGCTTAATATGCCTGTAATTATTATCTAATATGTGAGAATTAAATTAGTTGTGAAAGGGTTATGAATTAGCTTGTTATTAGATTAACATACTCTTAAGAATGAACTTTTTCCTCAAATTACACTCAGCCTCCGTCTCAAGTAATCAGTCAGTAGTTTGCATGAGGATTAGTATGAAGTTGCTTCCTGTCTTTGAGTCCACCTAGAGACTTATCCATGATTTTATCTTCACTGAGCAATAATGCAAAAGCTATAGAAGTTGTAACTTGTAAAAACTAAAATCAATCACTAATTTTGGTCTGTGCAGTTAAAGTACATGACAGAGGGTCACAAGTGAGCAAATACATCAATAAAAGGCATTTGATGTACTGACTTCTGTCTTCTGTGTGTTTCCTCTGCCTGCCTTCCTACAAGGAGGAAGGAAAAGATGTTGAGATTTTGACTTGTCTGAACTGCCATGCCAGAAATGGCACTTTCATTTTACAAATACCACCCCAGGATTTCCACACCAGGACTCGTGATGCTTCGGTCTTCCAGTTGCTTAGTTTAACGGCTGACCTGTAAGTGTTGCAGTGAATGGGATCGTGGTGGGTGGCCGTACTGGTTCCATATACACCCCAGTTGTAGAGCTGACTTGAGTATCACAGTGCATGAAGGGATGCTCACCTGGGCTGGTTTAGTCAGCACATCTGCTGTTGGGCCTTAAACACTTCATACAGAGGGGCTTGCCTTCATAGAGTGAGTCTTATTCTGTGCTGAGCTGCACTGTGCTTGGGAAAACTGCAAAAAGAGGTGTTTGAATACTGGCACTAGTAGGCAGCGCGCTCTGCGTTTGACATTCAGACGACCCAGTTCTGAAAGTAGGTGAGTAAAGGGCTTCGAGCGCTTTTGTGGGAAGTGGGAAAACTGGGTTCTGGGCCAAAGGAGTTTGGAATCAACATCCCTCTCATTCCTGGAGAGCACCCAAACCCCTCGCTTGTTGTGCAGCGTGAAATGGGACAGCTCTGATGCTTCTCTCCTGAATATAGCAGCTGCACAGAAATCAGTGCAAAGCATGGGAGGCACGAGATAGAACAAGCAAGGAGGGGTTTGGATCTGTGACGTGTATGTGAGAGCTCTCCTGAGGAGTCCAAGGGCTAGATCTTCAGCCAGTTGTTACTTAGGGACCTTATCTTTGACCTCCAATTACATGAGTCCCAGAAACAGAATCAATATCCCAGGACTTTATCATGCACAGAAGTATCAAGCAAAGAGAGCTGAGTCTGAGTTGGACCCGAGGTTGTACACCAGCATTGGTGACAATGTCTCTGTCTTCAATCTTTTCTGTGAAGCTTTCTCATCGCCTCTCTCTAGATACGTACACCATACTAAAACTAAAACTTGAACCTTGTTTTAATTACAGCAGCCCAGCCACGGTGATTTTTTCTTTTCTAATGGAGGAAAAGAGAAACTTAAGGAGGTTTAGAAAGGTGATAATACATTTGTTTTGTAGCATTTAAGTGCTCCTCCTTATTCTCTAAGATTTACTCTAGCCCTGAATTTTGTTTGTTAATAGACTCTGCTGTAATTATTTTTATTAAAGTTTTTGAAATGTGTGTTAGAGGAAAATACTTTCAGAACCACTAAACTTCTCCATTCATTTCAAAAAACCTCTAGCTGCTATTTAATCCCTTTGCTTGCCTTGCTGAGTCACTTTGCAGTCAACCCAGGGGGTGGGGAGCTTAGCAAATTTTGAAAACGAAATGGAGGGCTCAGACGTATTTCCATGAGTAAAACACACCCTTTAGAAGCAGCACAGACACGGGTGTGGGTTTGTTTGAAGTCTGCTGCCACCTGCTTCTGAGGGAAAAACGCCGAAAAGAGCCATTTGCGTGTGACGAGGGCACCGATCCAGAACAGCCACGAAGGGCTCGCTACCATAAATCAATGCTAGGCCCATGTTATGTTTGACGAGTCAGGAGAAAGAAACTGGCAGAAGAAGTGAAAGGTACGCTGCAGACCTTAACTCCTTCACGCACTGGGATTCCTTGCTAAAGGTTTTCGGAGTCTCTCCACATCCTCTCCCCTGTTGCATTTAAAGACTTCACAAGTTAGACCTCAGGACAATCCTGCGACTGTGGTACCAGCTCTAGCTGAGTAAAATGAGGTTCGTTGAGGCATCCGGTGACATACAAAGCAGTAGTTGAACTTGGAGCCGCCAATTAGTTTCTTGAGAGGATTTCAAAAACTGGGGAGTGTAACTTAAACCTGGATGTTTGTCCCCCAGGGCAAGGGAGGCCGTGCCCTTCATACAGCATCCTTCATGGAGGAAGGGCTTTGGGCCCTATTTTTTTATTCCAATTCCAAACAAAAACCAATGTTTTCTGTGAAATGGATGTGGCCTGATGCTGTGTGTCGATGGGCCCTGGGAGAGCTCAGAAACCCTCAGATCAGGCTACTGAATAGCTGCAGCTCTGTAGCCAGGATTCCCGGGGCACCCTGTGTTTCCGGGAGCGCACCGAGCAGGCTGTAGGGCTGGGAGCAGGCTCGCTGCTGTCACAGTGCTGGTGGCACACCTGAAAAAAAAACAAACAAATCCACGGGTATCCAGCCATCCATTGCATGGTGGGGAACCAGCTTCGTTTGTCAGAATTAAGCTATTTTTTCAAAAAGTTGAATTCTGCTGAAGAGGTAGGTGTGCCTCTTGCCACACAAAGGTCTGCTGATATCCCAGCTGCTCGCAATTTTGTGTGAAGAGACATTGAGGTGGTGTGGGGAGAAATGGATTAAAACCCAAGGCATTGCTTGACCGACTGTCCAAACCCTCAAAGGTAACGTGGGTAAGGCGTTGGTAATCTCCAGAATCCACCGGTGCAAGCTGATGGAAAGACAAAGTGCAAAAGACACCTGGCAATGGGCATTTAGCCCTACATTATGGCCTGAATCAGGGTACAAAGCCCTCATGATACAACAGGCTCGGCATACAATGGAAAGACAAACCAAAAAGGGTTTTCTCTTAAAAAAAAAAAAAGCTTATTTTGACTACCTTGTTTTAGCGGTAAAGAAACATTGCTTAAGCAAGATATGGCTGAAATATGTTTGATAGATTACTGTAGAGGGGCTGACAAAAAAAAAATCCTGTTGCATGTTTCATATTCAGACAATGAAGCTTTCATTTGCTGCCTCGTTCACAGATGTGGTATTGTCAAATTGCAGGAAAATGCTTGGCAGACTGTATCATCAACTATATTTAGGGAGAAAAAAAATTCAGCACACACTATTTATAGAAGCCACACAAATAAGCACAGGGTTCTTATCAGCCAAAGATAACATTAGTCGTGATTTATCAAAGTAATCTTTATTTTATGGAAAATGGATAATAGGGCGTAATTTAATCCTTTGTGAATGTAATGTATATTTCAAAGGGTTCTTTCTTGTCAATAAAACCATTTGTTGTACTCGTTAAACTAATTAGTCTTGTTGCTGTTGCTTAGGACAGGATAAAAGATACCCGTTAACGGAACGGGGAGGAGAAGATGGGCTCGAAGGTTTGTACACCAGACTGTGTGCCTTGCCAGCCGGCCTTCGGACCGAAACAGGCTTCGCTGCGAGCCTGTGTTCATGGAGACAGTGCAGAAGACACATCTGCCTTTTTAAATTCCGGAACAAAACACTCCAAAAATTATTCAGCTCGTCCCTGCAAGCACCAGGGGCTCCCCTGACCTCCGGGCTGGTGGTGGCCCTGGCCATGGCCTGGCTCTGGCACCCAGCGCTGCCGGGGAGGGCGGCGTTCCCGGCCGCCTCTCGCTGCTCCTTGCATTTTTTCCACCATAGGCAAACACATTCCAGGAGCTGTGGAGAAGGCGAAGAGGGAAGAAAACAGAACGGCCTCAGTGCTCCCTGCGTCGGGCCCTGGCCATGCACATGGAGCGAGGGCAGGTTGGTGCTGGCTGAGGCCGGGCCTGGGCTTGGCTCTGCGAGGGGACCCAGGGCAGTGCCAGGCTGCAGGCAGGACGTGAGCTCATCCCCTGGATCTGCTGCTGACCTTGAAAGAACAGAGTCAGAAGTGGGCAAGAGTCAGAAGAGGACACATTTTATTAACTCTTTTTTTTTTTTCTTCTTAATGTTTTTGGTGTCCTTGTTTGTAGCCTAGCAGCCTCATGAACTTTAAATAGGAATTTATGAATGATTTGCAGAAGATGACTCGCTGCTCTCCAAAGACCAGCTAAGCTCTTAAAGATCCTTCTCCCTTAGAAATGGTTCAGAAAATGGCCTCAGAAGGGCCAAGTTGTGGAGAAATCCTTAAGGAGGGGTCTTGTCCCTACTGGCTTATCAGTTCTGCCTGGTCGTTCCAGTTCCTTGGTTCTCTTTGTGCCCTGCATTGTAGAAACTGTCCAAATATAACACTTCTGATCTTGAAACACTGCATCCAGAAGTTTTGCAAGTCCTTGGATCTCCTGGACATGCTGGTGAGGACAGGCCCTAGCTTCCAGCTCCCACAGCCCCACTGGCAAGCTCACAGAGCAGATTCGCAGGACTTCCAGCACAATGACCTGAGCTCAGCATCCAGCGCACTTGGGAGCAATGCTCCAAAAGGCTCTGACCCCAGAGATGCTGTCCCCCGTTTGAGGACAGGGTGCCTCTGAGGCTGGCCTGCCGGGCTGGCTGCCCAGAGGGGTTTTCAGCTAGCCAGAAGTACAGGGCAGGGCCCTGCATCGAGTCAGGCCATGCCAGAAAATGGAAGTGAGCTTGGCGATGTACAAGGGAATCACAGCAATGATAAAAGCATGTCGGCTTTCCCCTTACATGGGATCACTTTAGGGAGGCATTTGATGGTTTTTTTTTATATCATCCGGAATGACAGGAGGACCAAAAGCTGTTTCACAAATAGCATATGAATTAGACAGCAGAATGAGGAGTGCTACCCATTAGTCCTTGTGGTTGTTTTATTTTATTTATTTATTTGTATTTTATTCATTTTTTATGAGATCTGAGGCTATTTTCAATCCCCCTCCTTCAGGTGCAGCCCCTGTATGGTAATGCCTGAACATAAAGCTGTAATACTGAAGGTGATTCAGGGCACTTACAGAGTGGATTTGAGCATCTTATAGAACCAACACAGAGAGCCAGGTCGCCTCTGGAGACCTCTGAAGGCTGCCTTGAGACAACAAATCAGCTTTTTGGATGCCAGTATCATGTCAGAGCTACTATGGGCCCATGATGAGAAACTGTACAAGCTCCTTCTGCCCTTTCAAATTTTGTTTGAGACAATTTGGAGGTTTGGGAGGGGTTATTTGGCCATGGCAGATCTTGTAGTGCTGGAGGTCAAGGAGATTTCAGCAGGATACTGACTTGGGATGCAGGCCCATCCCTTCTAACACTATTTTGCTTTT